ATATATATATATATATGTTGATTTTGCCCTAATTTTGCCAATTTCAAAAATTTCAGAAATTGTTATCCCCAAGTTGAGGCAATATATATGTTGTTGATGCCCTAATTTCTACAGATTTGTTCAGATTTCTGAAATCTGTGTAAAAATCTGTGTAAAATCTGAACATATGGATTGAATTTCTGAAATTGAAAATCTGTGTAAAATCTGAACATATGGATTGATGCTTTGATTAACATATATTTTATTATTCTCAATTCCATATTTTATTATTATGTAAAATCTGTGTAAAAATAAAATTTCTGAAATTGAAATTTGTTGAATCAAATTTCTGAAATTTCTGAAATCAACATCTTCTTAGAGATGTAATGGGTAACATTATAGGCTTCTTCCTAGTGGAGGTATAACTTCTTCCCAGTGGGTTTAATGTTCTTTGAGTCTTACCATGAGTTATTGGGGAGGTATAACTTCTTCTTAGAGCAGCAGCATGATGTTTGTTCTCTTGAAAACACAGGAATTTGAGTTATGATTAGAGATGTAATGGGTAGTATTATAGGCTTGAGGTTGCCATTAAGAGAATTTTCATCTTTCTTGGAATGCCTCAAAGAAGCCATATTGCATCTTTCAGTAGAAATATAGAATCATTAAGCCATATTGCACCTTTCAGTAGAAACCTTAAACTCCAAATTGCTCATGGGTATAAGTGCCATCTAAAATGTTAAGAGTGGCAGTGATTCTTAGCAAATAAATGTGTTTTTATTTCAATATGGGTAACTTTCTAGTAGTACTATACCAAATCTTGTTCTTCTGTCTAAGATAAGACATATAGTCCTAGTTTTGTCTGAGGTCGACATTTCTTTATTACTATACACAAATTTCTTATTTCCATTTTCTGTTGGGTTTGACTTACCCATAATCTCTTAATGAATTGAATTCAGATTTTTGGAAGTTGCAAAGTGATGTGTCAAATGATGGCTGAATTATGTGTCTGTTAAATGCTGAATTATAAATTTTATTCTTATAGTGGTTTAGATATTACGATAATAACTAGTTTTGTTCTGTAAACAAAGTTGTTTAACTCTTCTATTTACTTAATGGAGTTTGACTTGGATTTATGAAATCTGCTAATCGCACACTGAGTTATATGGACTTGGTTTGAAGTATTGGTTGCCAACTTGCCAGTGTGTATATAGCTCACTGTAAGTGAAATGAGTTCAAACAGTGTAAGTGAAATGAGTTCAAATTCAAACTGTATGTGAAATGAGTTTGAACTCATTTGAATTTGGAAAATGAATTTGAACTTGAAATTGAACTCATTTGTCAAATTGAGTTCAAATTCAAACTGACAGTGTTTGAACTCATACAAGGTGTCAATGTTCAAATTTCACTTACAATTCAAAAATGTAACTAGCCCAATGCACATAAAATGTAACTTGTATGAGTTCAAATTCAAACTGACAGTGTTTGAATTTTCACTTTTTGATTCAATTTCAGACTATTCCCATATGAGACTATTGAGTTCACTTTTTGATTCAATTTTCAGTTAATGAGGATAACTTGTTATTACAGATGTCAAATTCAACTGTCAACGCCAGTAGCTCAGATCGGTTGATGTACTTCAACAAAAATTGTCCTACATGTAAGAAAAAGGCCATGATTCAAATTTCTAAGACCGATCGAAACAAAAACGAGCTATTCTACTCTTGTAATGGTTGTGATATTTTCATTGGATGGTGTGCGCCTATGAATTTAGAATGTGGAGATTAAGAAATTCCAAGACAAGTAGAAAGAGAACTGCTAAGATCTATAACGGAACAAGTTCGAGCTATGTGCGAACAACAAAGATCTATGACGGAACAAGTTCGGAACAACTTCGAGCTATGACCGAACAACAAAGATCTATGACGGAACAATTTACCTTTGTTAGTGCAAAGATGCAAAAACTAGAATTTGTGATGTTTTTCTTGCTTGTAATTGGCGTGTTATTACTTATGAAGATGTAATGCTAGGTAAAAGTAGAAGTAGAAGCAGATTGAACTATGTTTTGTTGTGGAATGGAATATGTATTGTTGAATATGTTTTGTGGAATGGAATATGTTTTGTTGTGAATTGTTGAATTTTTTAGTGGAAGGGAAATGACCCACTGAATTGTTGAATTGTCATTGTTGAATTGTTGAATGAAGACGTGGAATGAAGATGTGGTACTGTGGAATTGTTGTGGAATGAAGATGTGTTATTATGGAATTGTTGTGGAATGAATATGTGTACCATGAACAGGTTTTAAACCATGAATTGAACCATGACCCATGACAGATTTTAAACCATGTCAGATTTTAAACAGGTTTGTTGTGGAATGAAGATGTTGTGGAATTGTTGTGGAATCAAGATGTTGAGCATGAACCATGACAGATTTTTTACAGATTTGAACCATGATTTGAACCATAAACAGATTTGAACCATGAACAGACATATTTTGGCAACCATGATTTGAACCATAAACAGACATATTTTGGCAACCATGATTTGAACCATAAACAGACATATTTTTACAGATTTGACATACAACAGATTTTAAACAGCATGAACCATCTGAACCAGATTTTGAGATTTGAGCATGATGCCATGAACATCATTTACAGAACCATTGAACCAGATTTGACATTTGAGCATGAATCATGAACCATGACCATGAACAGATTTTCCACATGATTCAATTTTAACATCATGATTTTAGCGATTTGAGCAATTTTTCAATTTTAACATGATTTTTATACCAGAATTTGAACCAGAACTGAAAAAATGATATTTGGCTAAAAATCATTTTTCTAAGATTTGTCTTTACACCATGACTGTCAACATGAGATTCTGCATGAACTCTTCAAAAAATCAATGCTCAACACTAACAAAATGCTTCAAACATGTAAAATAAGCATAAATGAAACATTTGTTTACAGAATTTTTATAAGCCATCAACTGTGAACTTGAAATGCTGAAAGACAATTGTAAAATAAAGTGGGACTTAATAATAACCAATCTTGCAAATTCATACACAACATGCGTTAGACATGTAACATGGGACTTAACATAATAAGTTTCAATCTCAAAAACAAAATGTCAATGTTCAATAAACTAGTCAAACATTTTTACAATCTCCATCATTCATTCACACTGTGCAATGTCCATCATTCATTCCCGGTATGCATGCATTAGAACTCGATGGGGTTAGAGATCCAGATCCAAAAAATTGAGTTGGAGCACTCATCAAACTTCTCGGTGTGCCACTTACAAAGTTCGATGGGATAAGAGATGTGCCTCCAATAGCATTTACGACCTGTCATAATTGAAGTAAAAAAATACACGTTACAAAATATTTGTAAATGAAAATAAAAAATGAATGTAAAGTCGTCTTATGCACACATACCGGTGCATACACACTATTTTTCATGCTAGCCATAAAAGGATAATATGATGTATAAGCTTGAGCTTGAGCTTGAGCTTGAACTTGAGCTTCAACTTCAGCTTGAGCTTGAGCTTCAAATTGAAGAACCTTAGCAGCCTATATTGGTTCAAGAGTTTGTAAAAATGTAGTTGAAAAGAGTTTGTTAAAAAAATAAAAAACAAGTTCAATTTAATATACAAGTTCAATTCAATATACAATTTACCTTTGCTTTTGTTTGTTTTTTTGCCGTTGCCTTGAATCGATTCACTATTTGATCTACTTTGGCAACCTTTCGTTTCGTTACTGGATGGCCCCTTCGCCGAACAACCAAAGGACTAACCACCTTCCTCGTACTAGCACCGGATGTACATCCGGTGGCAATTGGACTTTTTGTAGAAGATGGTATCCTATTAGTAGAAGGTGGTAAATTACTCCCATCACCCGATTCGTCGTGCATGACTCTATCCTTTATTTCATCCAACGCACGGTCTATAATTTTAATTTTCCCTTCCGAATTACTAGCAAGTTGTATAATGGCGATCAATTTCTTGTTCATCCTCTCATAACAACTTGTATTGAAATCATCCACAAAGCCAGTGTACGTGGCTTTGATGCATGTGTACTCTCGAACCAAATCTTTCCTCCAACGTGGCAAAATGTACTTACTTGGCACCTCATTTATGCACCTTCTCACAAGCACCGCGAGTGAGTGAGCACACATAATCCCTCTAAACTGAAACAACCGACACATACACTGAACTTCACATTCAATTGCATTAAAATACACAACAAAGTCTACATGCTTCATCTTGTCACAAACTACCATCGCTTCTTGGACATTATATGTACAAATTGCTCCCTCCTATTTGACAATCAAGGCTTGACAGTACACTAATCTCTTCAACTCTCCTTGAACTTCTTTGAATTTTGCATTGGTGTAGGCTTGTTGAAATTGCTTCTCAAAGCCATATGTAGTTAGACAATCAAACAATTTGTGTCGAGACTTGAAGTCTGATTTCTTCTCTTTCTCTACCTTACTTCTCAACGCATTGTCATATTGTTCAACAAATTGTTTTAATGTAGTCTTCGGGTTGACATATCCATTAAAAAAAGCATTCATGCTTTCACTTCGTTGTGTTGTTGACATGCCAGCCCAAAAAATATCTTTAACATATACAGGAACCCATCGATGCCGCTCATGATATAGTACCCCCAACCACTCATTATCATAAAGATTGAATTTAGTAAGCATCTCTTCCCATTTTTCCTCAAATTCATCTCTTGTCAAACAATCATAAATTGCATTTTGCATAGACAACTTCATGGGTTCATACTGAGCATATCCTTTCAACTTCTCTGGTATTTTCTTCATTACATGCCATAAGCACCATCGATGCCGGGCCTGTGGAAAGACAATTTCTATAGCATTTTGCATAGCTCTGCACTGATCAGTTATGATAGCTTTTGGAGGTTTATTTGACATGCAACTTAACCACGACTTGAATAGCCAAACAAATGTGTCGGTGTCTTCACCAGATAACAATCCACAACCAAGCAAAATAGACTATCCATGGTGATTGACTCCTACAAATTGAGCAAATGGCATGTCATATTTGTTCGTCAGATAAGTTGTGTCAAATGAAACAACATCTCCAAATGATTCATACATAGCCCGACTCCTTGCATCAGCCCAAAACAAGTTTCTAATGCGAAACTCCTCATCAACATTGATCACATAAAAGAATTTCTCACTATGTGCTTGCATCCTTATAAAATAACTTTGAAGTGATTCGGCATCACCTTCACCAAGCCTTAATCTTCTAGCTTTATTAATGTAATTCCTTGCATCTCGCTCATCAAATGTCAATGACTCGTATCCCCCCACTTCAACAACCATTGAATGATAGTTCCTAGACACCCCAATCCCTGCTTGATCATTGATTTCTAATCTTCTCTTCATAGGAGTACGAATTTTCTTATTCATTGCAAAATGACGAGAGACGGTGGGAATCAAATCATGATTATGCTCAAGGTTAACTGTGGTTAACATGTATGTCCCATTCTTTTGTAGAGTACCTCGTACCCTTGCTTTGAAACCAATTTTTGTGGACAAAGATGGCTTCAAAGGGTTCACTTCTGATTTCTTTTTTCTCTCCCCCGCTCGAGAACATTCAATTGCAAAGTTTTTTAATTCGCCATCATCTCCAAAATGTTGTGCTCTATGAGCTATAGAAAGCCAACATGCTTAACATATGTGGCATAAAATGTGTACACTTCTTCCTTTGAGCTAAAACACATACCCTTCTTCGGTTCTTCAACTTGTTTTTGAGGGGGTCAGAAATCAGATTCAACTTGTTCACCCTCATTTACTGAAGGATTGTCACCACCATTTGAATCAACCTCCATTCTACGAGAATCAAAAATGAAATTCAAATAGAATGATTTTAGAATAATAATTTTATAAAATCAAACATCAGCTAATAAACTGTAGAAACTGTTGAAATAAACCATCAAACAAATTCAAACATCTGTGATGTCTAAAACTAATCACAGATGTTTATAAGATAAAACATTAGCTAAAATATTATAAAACTAATAATAAAATTATTAAACTAATCAAACATCTAATAATAAACTTTGTTGAACACATCTGTGATGATTGAAACATTGATCTAATAATAAACTTTCAAACATCTAATCAAACATCTGTGATGATTGAAACTTTGATCTAATAATAAACTTTCAAAATCTTATAATCATCACAGATGTTTGATTATAAAACTAATCAAACATCAGCTAAAATATTATAAAACAAATTGTATTTCAATGAAACATTTGTGAAGACAGACATCTGTTATCAAATACAATGTTTGATTGAAATTATCAAACATCTATTATGAAACTTTGAAGTTTTCCACTGCTTTTTGTCAAACAAAGTTTTCCACTGTTATGAAATTATCAAACAAAGTTTTCCACTGCTTTTTGTCACAATTTCATAGTTTTTTGTCTCTAAGTACTGTTATAAAAAGTAGTAGAACCAAGCTTGGTACATTCTAATCTTTCCTACATTATCTCACTCATATAGAAATCTAAAGCTCTCTTTACCTTGACTTTGCAATTATCTCTTTCACTTGAAGGTAAATGAAGAATTTAAAAAGAAAAATTTAACAACCCAAACAAGATTGCACAATCACAAGAACCCTACAAAGAGTAAGTTTCTCTGTTTGTAATTGAAAAGTAAAAAAAATAAAAAAATAAAAATGAAACAAGAATCCTACTCTAAATTATGCATAGATGAAGCTCTGGGCAATATATTTATCAGTAGATTCAAAATTTCTGAGTTATAATCCTAGCATTGATGCTATCATAGATATCATTAGAACTGTCCGTTTTTTCTCTGTATACTTTACACCTTCTGTAATGTCCAAAAAGTTAATGACTACAGTAAAAAATTTGATAATCACAAAGAAATTCTCTGTTTCAATGTTTCAATAAATATCGGCCAAAACAAACTGATAACATGCAGGAATGTCATAATTTGGGGTTATGAACAGATTTTATACAGAACTCCAAATTATGAGCATCAACCATGACAGTTTCAGCATAGTTGATGTAGATAGAGAGAGAGAGAGGGAGAATCAGGGGTTTTCGAGTAACATTACCTGACAAAATGCTATGGTCGACGGAGAGCTATGGTCGACGGAGGAGAGATATGGGGGACGCACGATGGAAGGGAAGAGAGAAGACGTTCCCGCTTTTTTTTTTCTGTTTTTGTTTTCAGTATTTTTCTTGTCTTTCAGGTGCGTATATAACACCTTTTTCATTGTGCAATTCTTCTTCAGATGACTTTATCAGGTGCCACCTCAGAGGGGGTCGAGGGGGTCTTCAATTGAGGGGGTCTGTATCGGAATTGTTTCAAATATCTTGTCAGCACTCCAAATTTGGGATTATGGTATCCTAAGGAAAGTACCTTTAAACTTTTTGATTACTCAAATGCCAACTTTACAGGATGTAAACTTGACCAAAAAAGCACTAGTGGCACTTGTCATTTTCTTGGACACTCTCTCACTTCTTGGTTTTGCAAAAAACAAAACTCAGTGGCTCTGTCAATTGCTGAAGCATAACACATTTTCGTCGCTGGGTGTTGTACACAATTGCTTTGGATGAAATAACAACTTTAAATTTTGGACTTCACTATGATCATATCCAATAAAATGTGATAACACAAGTGCCATTAACTTTTAAAAAAATCCTATTCAGCACTCACACACTAAACACGTTGAAATAATGCATCATTTTCTAAGAGATCATGTACTCAAACGTGACATTGAACTTGAATTTATGCCTACAAATCGTATGTTAAATACTCCTACATAATAATTATATATAATAAATAAATAAAAACTTTTTTTTTTATAAATCCTCCATCTCTTTCTTTGCTCTTCCATTCTTCGTCTTGCTCTCACTCTTGCTCTCTGTTTCTTTCTCTGTTTTCCTATCTCTCTCTCTCTCTCTCATCCTCTCTCGCTTTCTCGTATCATCCAACTCCGACTCCATCACCACCATCATCCATCACTTTCATCACCACCATCATCCACCCAAATCCCTTATTGATCCACCAAGATCCATCACTGCTCTACACAAAACCTTCATCACCGATCTTCAACATCATTTTCGATTCATCAAGGTCAATTACCGATCCATCACCGATCTACAAAAATTCATCACCGATCTACAAACATTCATCCCCGATCTTCTCAATTTGTTCTGATCATCAACATCATCGCCGATCAACATGCTAAAATTATTTTTGCACTATGTGATATTTTTTATATGGTTATATGTGCTTCAAACTCTCTTGTATTTAATAACAATTGCTTCTACTGGGTATGAAGAAATTATTTTTATTTGTATTTTCTCTTTTTATGCTAGTGCACTCGGTGTAATTGTTTATGGTTGAATCTTCATGACCCTTGGTATTATAAATTACTAATTTGTTTCTTATAATTTGTGTAATTTTTAGTGCATTAATGTAAGGGGAGACTCATATTATGTAATATTTTGAGATTAAAACAATTATAATAAATAATAAAAAAAAAAAACACAATCTTAAGAGGGCGTTTGTATATTCTATGCATAATTTTAGGGGGAGTATATATGGTTATCATCTAATTGTTTCTTACTCCTTATCTGCATTAAAAAAAAAAAAATTATATAGAAAAGACAAACAATTTTTTCAAAGAGAAATGCTTACAATTTTATTTCAAAATAAGAAACTATTGCTCTATTACATGTACAGTTCGAGAAGGCTTTACAGATTTTTTGCATTTCACTTCTCTCAACAACCTTTCATGAGCCTCCTTTACATGCCTTTCTCTATTTTTGACTTCTGTGAGTCTTGACACTATAACCGTTGCATGATATTGCATCATATTGTCCAACTGAGAATTTTTCTTCACTAGATCTCTCTTCTCCTGACGAGTATTAGCCAGTTGTTGTTTTAAAAAGCTTACATTGTCTTTAAATTGCTGATTCTCTTGTATTCTTTCTTGTAGTCGTCGAGCCATATTGGACACTGTAAGAACTTAAATTTTTAGACAACTAATTAGTTTATTAATAATAATATTAAGTCAATCAATAGTGACTATTGAACTATTAAATTATAATGTTAATAGCACCATAATTAATTCCAATATTAAATTCTTTTAAATAAAATTATTTATCTTACTGTGATTAAATTTCTGTATCAAAATATAATTGTGAAAACTAAATGGATTAAATTAATAAATAAGCTAGTTAGAATTTAGTAGGAAGAAAACCATCTAGTTAAAAATAATATAATAATAATAATAATAATAATAATAATAATAATAATAATAATAATAATAATAAATAAATAAATAAATAAATAAATAAATAGGGATCAAATTGCAAGAAAAGTAGCTGATTGCCACTTCTTTTCCTCTGCTGCTCTAATGCATGCAAGGCATGCTTGTTTCCCAAGTTCACACCCTGCATCCCTAAGAAAACAAGCATGGCATAGGATGGAATTCCAACCAATAGAATTTTTTTTGCTAAAGAAAGGAAATAATAAAATAAAACAAAATGATGCTCCCATATTCCCTACGTAAGGGACCTCACCATCAGCCATATACACACACACGACTGTGAGAGAAAAGAAAGAGTGGAGAGGAAAAAGAGAGTAGAAAAGAGAAGAGAAAGGAAAAAAAAAGAAAAGAGAGGGTACTTGGTGAATACCAATTTCAACTTAGTTTGAGAAGTGTTTGCAAAGCTCTTGAGGTAAGAATACATCACCTCTATCCTCCCTTAGATACATCTAACTGAATTTATATAATTTATATATGCAAGACTAAGCATGGTTAAGTCATATATAGAAAAATAGTACCATGGATGTTTAAAACTTTGATAGGATGAGGGTTTCATTTTGTTATAATTTCATATTCCTTCTTGCAAACATAGATATATGGCCTAGCTACTGTTTTTATGTTCAATATTCTCCATTATTGAAATTATCTTGCAATAGAGTAAAATGAGATGAGAATGGCTTCCCTTAACTTGAAACTTAGATTCTTCCTCACTGTTTCAGACTTTATCGGGTGAAAAGAGGGCTCTAATAAATTAAAAATAATTGATGTTAAAAATTTGTGTATACTGGAAGTATATATAGATGTTATACACTGTGTAAAATTTTTATAAAATCATCGGACACCATTTTCTTACCGAAACAAATATTTTCCCTAAGCGTCGCTTACAACACAGCAGAAGCAGTGGCTTCAAACAGGTCATATTTTCTTTACAAATGGTGTTTTTCTGCCCGACAACTTGGAATAGTTAGTGTGTGGGTGATTTTCTGACCACACTGCCCAACTCAGTATTCAGCTAGAGAACACTGGCAGAATAGATGACACCTGGCTAACCTGTAACAGAAAGACAAGACTCCGGCGGTAGTTTGTCCACCCGGGGGCACTCCGACGATCAAGTCAGTATATCTCTCAAAGATAATCAATAGTGCTAATCTCACTAGACAAA